ATAATCTGTCTAAAAAAATTATAAATTACTGAGGCGAAAATTAACAGAATCATATTTAATAAATATTAATTAAACAAGGATGTTGAAGATGATAACCAATTAAAGAATTTACAACAGGGATTAGTTTTCCTAAAGGAAGATGACATGATTATGTTGATATTTATGAAGCACTTTCTAATTTGTCTTTCGTTCTTACTAATTAGAGTCTCTGATAATATTAAAGTTATTGGTTCAGTTCACCTGTGGAGATGGAAGAATAATATTATTCTAGTTATTTGAAAAAGCCAGTGATTATTTTTTCTGATGGAGGATTACTAAGAAGGACCTAAATTTTATCTCCTTATTCAAGTAAACTGGAGAGATTAGTTGACCAAATAATTTGGAGATGATGAGAATTAGAATTATGCGTAATAATCAGTGAGTTAGGAAGAGACTATTCTTCAAAAAATAAATATAGTTGGTTAGAATAGACTTCTTGAATTATATTCCTAAACTTTGGAGAAATAATTATAGGTTTCTAAAAATTGCTAGATACAAAGGGCAGTTTAAATTTTTAACAAAAATAATTACAATTCTTAACATAAATAAATTTTATATAAATGGACCATTTAAAATTTCTAAAAACAAGTCTTCCCTTGAATAGTTAAAATAATCTATCCTCTTAAATTACTCCTTTTGTGTTAGCGATATTGTTTTTTTCAAGATTAACTCATAAATATAACTTATAACATTTTTATGATTGATTCCAATAAATATTCTCTAATCAAGATAATAAGAATTTGGTTCCATATAATTTAGAAGAGTCATTTTTCCAAGTCTCATATATCAATTCTTAGATATTCATTTTATATGATATAATTATCCCTGTTATGAAAAAATAAATGATTCAGTTATCACCTAAGCATCCGAGAAATGAAAGTAATCAAAAAATTTATGATGATCTAACTAATTTCTTGGAACTCACAAGAATGTAAGGATATCCTATTATTATGAGTTATTTTCACCAATAGTTAATTTTGCTATTTAAATTCAACAACTCAATAAATTAAATTGATAATAATGAATCTCTAAGATATAAATTAATTTCAAAATTAAAAAAGATTTAAAATAAATTATTGAATCTAGAAATGCATTTTGATAAGTTGGAGTTGAATCTATATTACAATATTATATTCCAATATTAAATAAAATTTAATATCTTATTCAATATCTGACTATTAAGCTAAAAGTTAGCAATCATAGAACATTATATCATAGAGAGAAACTTAGAAAAAAATTGGTTAAAACACATTTGATTATTATTTTTTATTCCTTGATATTAACCAGATAGAAGGTTTAATGCTATTCATAGAAGTATGATGTTTTAGTTCAGAGCTCTACAGAAATAAATGAGGAGACTTAAGCTTGTCCTAAGAAGTTTAGGAAGAATAATCAAAGTACTATTAATGTTTGCCATCAGCAAAATCATTGCGTTTAATCAAATCTTATGCCTTCATTTATTATAAAATACAAATTGTAATTTCTCATTTAAAATCTCTAATTCCATCAAGGTATTTTTAGAGAAATTTCAAGCAAGTTTAAGAAAACAAATAATTTGTAACAGAATTTCAGAAAAATACTTAATGATTATATCAAAAGGAGCCTTCTTTATAATTAAAGAAATATTACAATAAATCATCTACGATTGTTAAAATAATTTTTTTTCTATTTCGAAAGTGCAAAAATTTTTTGAAAAAAATTATTGTAAGTTTAAAGAAGAATCATAGACTAAATTCAACAAAATTAGCTTATTAAATGAGATCTAAATCCCCTAGATCATTGGAGGAATAGATCCTAAGGAAATAAATTTTGTCTACAAATCTTCAACTAATTGAGGACTTTGAGACTAATTGATCTTTATGAATTTAGAAAAGTTCTTGATCCATATTTTCTTTTATTCATTTATAAATTAATGTAGCGGATTAGAAATACATAAATGAATGATATTTAAGAGTAGGAGAAGGATAAAGGGATCAATATAATCTCTAATTCCCTTTCTAAATTTAGTAAGGATAATCCTAAACATTAGCAGAATTTTTCTTAATCTGTCTTACTCTTAATGCTAATGGTATTTAGATCAACTCTTCAGAAATAGGAATCCAAATATTAACTCAGAGCCGCTATTTATTGATCTCTAGACTTAAACTACAAATAAAAAGAATTTACATGAATAATTTAGGTAGCACTAGGTTCGACCTGAAAAAATTAGTATGATTAAACCTAAACAGTATTGTTTTAAATTGCCAACCCTCATATAAGACTATTTTTTCTTATCTTATATCCTTTTTGTATAAATAAGGTAGAATGATATTTGTTCCTAGAAATGGATTCCTTCCATTTTTAGTCATTATTATGCTATTCTGTTAATTAAATAGGAATCCATTCATCATATGGAATTAAAATTACATATTAAATAAAGAACATTGTCATTGCTTTGGAAGATTTATAAAAAGGATTTCTAAATACTACTGATAAATTAAGTATATTTATCCTTATTATTATCGAATAGCTTTTGTAATAACCCTGTATGCACTTCAAAAAATTGATTAGATAGAAATATCTAAAAAAAACGGCTAGAATTAAATTCTAAAATAAGGTATAAGTTAAACAAAAGTCATTAATTTAATAATAATTTTAGTAAATGCCTTAGAGATAAGTGTTAGTAAGGTTATTAATTAGGTAAGTTAAATGAATATTTAAACTTTGGTAAAGGGTCAGGTTCTGAAGTAAGATAAGCCCAAATATCCTCAGAACTAAATTTAATTCATTAATTAATGGATAGTAAGACGATTTAAATAGAAATTTTTATTTAGAACATGGAAAATTGTTTGGTTTATAATTGAGTGGAGAGAATCTAGAGTTACCGCTATATGATAAGATCTAAGTAAATAGTCACTGATTTAGATGTGGTGAATACCCAATTTAAGATGCTAGTCAGTTATATGTTGAAATTATAAACAGAGTAAGTCTTTTGCAAATTCTATTTCCAAAAGCTTTTCTGATACTTTAATTGATCAATTTATTGATTTTTAACAAAAAGATTCATTTTCAATAAATAAAACCCATTGTATTGATAAGGAGTGATATAATGAAGAAACATTTACCGCTACATCTATTTTGAATCATTTGTACAATTGCATTTCTTATTTTGTTCAATTTTGTAATTCTCATCTAATCCATCATACTAAACTTCTTTTGGTAAGAAAATTAAAAAAAAATATCATACACAATTTTAATATTTATGGCAATTCAAAAAAATAGTTTTCATTTTTTTTTTGGATTAAGAAAGTCTTGTTCAAATTTGAACATATATATTTGTTTTATGCTTATTAAACTTATATAAGATATGAATTAAACAAATAATAATATGTAAATGTTTTAATGATATTATCACGATAATTTATGAGGAGATATTCTCATTATCTATTTTCCAATTCAAAATAATTTGAATTTCTGGTTATTGTCTATTTAGATTTAAAATACTTTAACATCATTGTAGTTATTAAAGTTATTACAATTAACAGAAAAATGGAGAGTACAACTATCAAGCCTACATTTTATTTTTCTTTTTTTACGGAATAGACTAGTAGGCTTCATTAAATAAAAAATATGTTTATTTGGCTGAACTCTATTAATTTTAAGCAACTATATCAATTTATGATTGTTAAACTTCTGTAATATCAACATCAATTTCAAGCCAATTTTAGAGAGGATATACAATTGTCTAATTGAAATAATTATTAGTGAGAAATAAATAATTTTCTGATACTATTAAAAATAATAAGAAACCTGGTATTTAGAGTGTATAAAATTTTTAACCTTCTCAAAACGAGCATAAATATTAGTGGTTATAAATGTGAAATTAACATAGTTTTAATTAATTATCATACCATTAAATCCTTAAAATACAAAATATCCACTAAAATTAGAATTATAAGTTAGGAATAAACTTGTATATTTATGGAACCCTATAATAGTTCCGTTATTATATTATAAAAAAATTAATATTTTTAACAATATATAAGATTGCATAAATCTCA